CCACCCCCTGGCTTCGCACCGCTGGCTCCCCGCCTGGGCCCCGAGCTGTCACCCTCACCCACTTCGCCCACTGCGACCTCCACCACCCCCTCGCGCTACAAGACTGAGCTATGTCGGACCTTCTCAGAGAGTGGACGCTGCCGCTACGGGGCCAAGTGCCAGTTTGCCCATGGCCTGGGCGAGCTGCGCCAGGCCAATCGCCACCCCAAGTACAAGACAGAACTCTGCCACAAGTTCTACCTCCAGGGCCGCTGCCCCTATGGCTCTCGCTGCCACTTCATCCACAACCCCAGCGAAGACCTGGCGGCCCCGGGCCACCCTCCTGTGCTTCGCCAGAGCATCAGCTTCTCCGGCCTGCCCTCTGGCCGCCGGACCTCACCACCACCACCAGGCCTGGTCGGCCCTTCCCTGTCCTCCAGCTCCTTCTCGCCCTCCAGCTCCCCGCCACCACCTGGGGACCTTCCACTGTCACCCTCTGCCTTCTCTGCTGCCCCTGGTACCCCCGTAGCTCGAAGAGACCCCAGCCCACTCTGTTGCCCCTCCTGCCGAAGGGCCACTCCTGTCAGCGTCTGGGGGCCCTTGGGTGGCCTGGTTCGGACCCCCTCTGTACAGTCCCTGGGATCCGACCCTGATGAATATGCCAGCAGCGGCAGCAGCCTGGGGGGCTCTGACTCTCCTGTCTTCGAGGCGGGGGTTTTTGCACCACCCCAGCCCGCGGCAGCCCCCCGGCGACTCCCCATCTTCAATCGCATCTCTGTGTCTGAGTGACAAGTGACTGCCTGGTCAGATCAGCTGGATCTCAGCGGGGAGCCACGTCTGTTGCACTGTGGTCTCTGCATGGACCCCAGGGCTATGGGGACTTGAGGGACAGTAATCAAGTAATCAAGTAACCCCCTTTTCCAGAATGCATTAACCCACTCCCCTGACCTCACACTGGGGCAGGTCCCCAAGTGTGCAAGCTCAGTATTCATGGTGGTGGGGGATGGAGTGTCTTCTGAGGTTTTCGACAAAAAAAAAAAAAAATGTAGCATATTTAAGGGAGGCAGTGAGCCCTCTCCCCACCTCTTCCCTGCCCAAATCTGTCTCATAGAATCTTACGTGCTGTGAATAATAGGCCTTCACTGCCCCTCCAGTGTTTATAGACCTGAGGTTCCAGTGTCTCCTGGTAACTGGAACCTCTCCTGAGGGGGAATCCTGGTGCTCAAATTACCCTCCAAAAGCAAGTAGCCAAAGCCGTTGCCAAACCCCACCCATAAATCAATGGACCCTTTATTTATGACGACTTTATTTATTCTAATATGATTTTATAGTATTTATATATATTGGGTCGTCTGCTTCCCTTGTATTTTTCTTTCTCTTTTTTTGTAATATTGGAAACGACGGTATAATTATAAGTAGACTATAATATATTTAGTAATATATATTGTTACCTTAAAAGTCTATTTTTGTGTTTTGGGGCATTTTTAAATAAACAATCTGAGTGTAAGCTGGGATCCTGGCTTCTTCGCGGTCTAGAGACAGGAATGGGGAGGGAGAGGGTGACTTTTTGGAAGCTGGGTGCAGTCAACTCTGCTTCTCCGAGCCCCGCGGCGCTTACCTGGCAGGAAGTGACGTCACCGGGCCTGGCAGTTCACCTGAAAGGGTGGGACCAGGTGAGGTCACCAGATGGGAACCGGGGGAGCCAGTTCCCGGGCGTCGGGGGCGCTGCGCTCCCGTCCTGCCGGGCTCCTTGACCCAGCTCTCGGGCGGGCGCGGGCGGGGACTGAATGTTTCCGTCCCCACGGGGCCGCGGGAGGCGGGAGGCGGGAGGGGCCGGGTGGGGAGGACGGAATGTGCCGGGGCGCGCGCCCAGAGCGAGCGGGGGCGGGCGCGGGGCGGGGCAGCCTGGGGTAGCGGAACCCGTTTCGGGACTAGGGGTTCCGGGGGGGCTTCGACACCTTCTGGATGTTGGGGAAGCGGGTTTTAGGGTCTCAAGAGTTTAGGGTCTCAACATTTGGGAGTCTCAGATTGTGTCCCCTAGCGCTTTAGACTCTAGACCCCTGGTGGCTCGGAGTGGCAGATTTCTGGCCACCGGGACCCTGGAGCCCGGGAATGACTGGGTCTTGGCATTTCCGAACCTTGGAAGCCCGAGGCCTCGGACACCAACCAGGGTCGGCCCCGCGAGGCCAGGGCGTGTGGGTAGGGGCCGCGCGTCTAGGAGGGGCCCCGGGGGAACAGCGTATTCAGACCATACAAGGCCAGCGGCGTCAGGACCAGCCCCGGGGCCCCGCGCCCGGAAGCCGCCCTGCGTCAGCGCCTGCGGCTCAACCCTGCCGCCCAGCCTTCGCCCCCCGCGACCCCTCTTCTTTCTCCTTGCCCCGCTGTCCCTCCTCTTCCCTCCCACTTCCCTCTTTTCTCCTTTCCCTACCCTCACCCTTCCTCCTCCTTTTCACTTCCTCTTCTGCACCCTGCTGCCCCGCCCTACGGCCTTTGCCTTCTGTTCTTCTCTCCCCCCTCCAATTTGTCCCCTCCCTCATTATTCCTCTCCCCCCACTTTCAGCCTCCCCATCCTGCCGTCTCTTACCCCCTTTCTCCTCCTTCCCGTCTCCTTTCTCTCTTTTTCCGTCCTTCCTTCCCTCTCCACCCTTTCCTTGCCCTCCCACTCCCCATTGTCCTCTTCCCCTCTTCCCCCAAGACTTACTCCTCCTCCTCTTCTCTCTCCCTCTCTTTCCCTCCTCTCCCTTCTTTCTACCCTCCTCAAGCCTCCCTCCAGCTCTCAGGCCTCCTTGGCCCTCTCCCTTGCTCACTGACCTTTGGTCTCCTCTTCCTGGAAACTGCCTCCTTTATGGGAAAGGGCTCAGGCCCTGATAAGTAGAAGAGGGTCAGGCGAGGGGGAGTCAGAACCCCTGAGATGCAAAGGCAGCGGAGGGGCAGACACCAAGAGCAAGCGGTGAAGAGACATTTGCTGAAACAGAGCCTTGGAGACTGAAAGAACAACATCCCTGGGTCCTTCCTTTAGCCAGATCAGATTCTCTGCCCCTTCCTCAAAGAATCCCTCATGTAAGAAAATGGCACCTCCCACCATCTGCCAGGGCTTAAGCCAGAGAGAGACCCAGGAGTATCCCTTGACACTTTGCTCTCAAACCCACACCCCAGGCCAACAGCGATCCTGTCTGATCCACCTGCAAAATAGATCCACAATCCACCTGCCCCCACCATGAGCCCCACCCCGGTCCTAGCCAACATCGTCTCCCATTTGCATCTTCATAGCAGCCCCTGTCCCAGTCTCTGCTCTAGCCCGTGCCTTCAGTCTCTCCTTTCCCCACTCCCCCACGAGACAACCAGACAAAGCCTGTTATGAGACCTGAGTCAGATCACATACAAGTTAAAGTCCTAAGTCCTCCCCACAGCCCACACAGTCGCGCCCATCGCTTACCCCTCCCCCTTGGTCACTCTGCTCCAGCCATACTGGCCTCCTAGCTGCTCTGCCAAGTCTGGTCTGCTTCATCCATAGGAGCTTTGCACTAGCTGTTCCCTCTGCCTGAACACTCCCCAGGTGTCCCCATGGCTAACTCCCCTCCTTCAGGTCTCTGCTCAAAAGTTGCCTTCTCTGAGATCCTCCCTGACCACTGCTGTTGCAATCCACACCCCACCTCCAACTACTCCATCCTCCCTACCTTGCTCGACTTTTTCCATGACATTATCATCACCACCTAACATTAAAATGTACTTAATTCTTATGTTGACAGCAATCTGCCTCCCCCACTAAAATGTCACGTCCTCAGGGGCAGGGACTACTTGTTTACTGCCGTTTTACACACAGCTAAAGGAAGCCAGGCGCATAGTGAATGTTCAATGCATGTTAAAAAAACAAGTCGACTCAAAAACGGAAAGGAAACATAGTTTTCCTTTTCAACAGAGGTTGAAAACTCCAAGATAGATAAATATGTTCATCTGTAAAAGAGGCATTAAAAAGAGAGAGAAATACGGAGGAGGCAGTCATATACAGTTTGCCCAGGACACACATCTCTACAAAAGTCAAACTGCACTCAAGTCCATGCCCAGAGCATCTAATAAGAGACGATACCCCCACCTGGTGGCTGAGACGGAAACGGCACCTTCCTACAATACAGAACACCCAAAGGACCGTCGCCAAAGCCCTAGGAGTCTTTTGAGCCCAATAATTCAAAAGATAGAAACGTTCATTCATCTAAGTGATGTAGATGTTTTGGTTGGTTTATAAGATGTATAAGTTTATAAAAACTGATGAGAAGCCAGGCGCGGTGGCTCACGCCTGTAATCCCAGCATTTTGGGAGGCAGAGGCTGGTGGATCACCTGAGGTCAGGAGTTCTAGACCAGCCTGACCAACATGGAGAAACCCCCTCTCTACTAAAAATACAAAATTGGCGGGGCGTGGTGGCACATGCCTATAATCCTAGCTAATAGGGAGGCTGAGGCAGGAGAATCGCTTGAATCTGGGAGGCGGAAGTTGCGGTGAGCCGTGATCGTGCCATTGCACTCCAGCCTGGGCAAACAAGAGTGAAACTACGTCTAAAATAAATAAATAAATAAAAATAAAATAAAAAAGACCTCATGAGAAAAGTATTAAAAGTGCTCCAGGTGAGGATCGAACTCACAACCTCGGCATTGCTCCGCTCGCACTGTCATATAAGTACCGCGCGCTAACCGATTGCGCCACTGGAGCTCCGGCCGCACCCCTCTGCCGGGGATTTCTTCAGTGGTTCGTAGCCACGTGACCTCACCGGAGGGCCCCGCCCTGTATTACACATGCAAATTTAAAACTTTGGATTGACCAATAGGAGACTGTGCATCGCCAGTTCCTGATTCTCACGCCTCACGGCCCTTGCTGTAAAAGGGAAAAGTCAGCGAGGCGTTTGGAATGTAGGGGTGTCGCCTACCAGAAGGACGCGCTTCCTCATGAATATTCAAAATCAGGGGTGGGGTCTTAACCCTTAGCTGGCCGGCCGGCCGGAAGGCAGCCCCTCCCCCCCACAGGCGGGAACAGGATGTAAGCCCCGGCGACAGCGGGGGAGGGGAAACCCCGGGCGACCGCCCCCCGCCTCACAGCTGGACCGGACTCTCCCGCCCCAGATGTGGCGCCGCCGCCGTCACACGAGCCCCGTGTCACCCAGCCAGGAGCTCGAGAGGTCCAGAGGCTCGGACCCGGGCGTCCGGAATTTCTGCACCGCATCCTGAGAGACCCCGAGGTCCAGGCCCCGGCGCTCAGGCTGGAGGACTTGAGCCATCCAGGTGCGCAGCGCCCCCTCCTGGAGCAGCCGGGAGCCCGGACGTCACCCCGGGGGACCCTGGAGGCCGAGCGCCCCGTATTCCCGGTTTCAAGAACTCAGGATCCAGGACCGTAGACTCCCTCCAGGGCTCCGATTCCAAGACCCCGCGTTGGAGGAACTTGAGATCCGGACTTCTAAGCGCCCCAACCAGTTTTGAGCTGCAGCGTCCATCACTTCAAGGGGACCCAGGACTTTGGGACCCCCCTGTGCTCCTACCTGGAGGGAGTTTCATTCCTGCCCCTGGAATTAGGGGAACTCAGAAATCCACCCCCCACCCACGGCCCTACCTAGAAGACTCAGGAATGTGGGTCCCCAGCGCCCCCATCTGAGGCTCCAGAGTCGAGGCTCCTAGCATCCCCTACTTAGAACACCGATAAATTCCGACTGCGGGACCCCAGTCTCCGAGAGACCCCAGATTCTATTCCTGGAGCCTGAGAGCCCGAAGTTCACGCCCCTGAGTCTGGGCTCCGCACCTCCCCGGGGACCGCGTCGGGGTCGCGCAGGAGCCGGGCTGCCTCGGGCCGGGGCTTGAGGCTCCCCGGGAGGTGAGGGGGGAGGCGAGGGGCCCAGGCAGACTGGGGGAGGGGGCGGCGCCACTGCTGAACAATGAGGGGGCGTGCCGGCGGGGGGCGAGCCGAGACGCCGGCGGTAGTTGGGGGCTGGAGGGGTGTGGGAAGGCGCTGGGGAGGCTGCGGCTGTGGGGACCGCGATTGGGGTTTGGAGAGACCGGCCGGAGCGGGTGCGAGGGCTCGGGGCCAGCGCCCCAGCGCGCAGCTCTCGGCGGGGGAGGGAGCCGTCTGCAGGACCCTGGCATCCGGTCCCCCAGCCTCCGCCCTCCCCTGGGACCTCGCGGCCTCCCGCCCACGGCTTTTCCCAGCCCTGCCCCTCGCCCTCCGCTCCAGCCGGAGCCCAAACGTTCCCAGGATCCCTAAGCCTCCGGCCCCAGACAAACGGGACTCGCAGCTTCTGCGCCTCCCGCTCCGCTCACTCTTCTTTGTCTCAGCCTTTCCATCTTTTCCCCCAGGTTCTCTCTCCTTGTCCCCTTCTTTCTGTCACTTTGTGCCTCCCCCATTAGTTACTCCCAGGGGCCCCTCCCTGGATTTACACCACGTTGCTAATTCTCAGCCCCCATCTGTGAGTTTGGGCGACGGAGAGGCCCATGGGGTCCTGATATCCAAGAAGGGGCTCTTTCTGCAGGACTCTGCTGGGCCGCTCAGCCATGCCAGAGGGAGCCCAAGGACTGAGCCTCTCCAAACCTAGCCCAAGCCTCGGGTGTGGCCGAAGAGGTGAAGTGTGTGGCTGTGGCACCGTGTGTGAGACTCGGACAGGTGAGCCCAGAGGCAGGGGCGGAGCCTGTGGGGCATTTATTCCTGGGCGATGCTGGCAAGGCAGGGTGATGGAGACAGCCCAAGGCCAACTCGCACAAAGCTCCGAGTCTGGTGGGGGAGGCGGGCCCATCCCCAGGCAATGACAGGCCAGAGGGGGCAGCGCTGGGCAGAGTGGTCAGGGATGTGATCAGGCTGTGATCGTGGATCCTCGGAGCTCGGAAGGTCAGGGGAAGGTTCCCGGAAGTGGGAACATCTCAACTGAGAAGTGGAAGATTAGGGGGAAGGAGTTGGGCAAAGACAAGGAAGAGTATTCTACATGCAAGGAACAGCATGTGCAAAGGCCCAGAGGTGAGAAAAGCCTTCATGTAAGTGACTGAAAGAAGTTGAGTGAATGCAGAGTGTAAGAAGGGGTGGCCGTGGGAAGAGAACTGGCTGGAGGGATCTGTGTCGGCCACATTGCCCAGTGCCCTGTGGATCTGAGAATTTTGGACTTTATCCCCAGGGGCAGGAAGGGGTTATAGTCACTGGAGTGACACAGTCAGATGGGCAAACTAATAAAGGTCTACCTAGCTGATTCATGAAGGTGGATTAGAGAAATGGAAGCCAGAAGTCCAGAGAGGACCGTGATGGGAGAGGATGGGACTGGACCAAGGCAGGGCAGTGGGGAGAGGAGGAAAGAACTTGTGGGAAAGCTGTTGGACAGGCGTGGGTGAGGCTGTGGGCTGAATGCATGAAAGCCTGTGGAAGTCCGGTGCATGGGGAGATTTCTCTGACCACCTGTTCCACACCCCAGCAGCTCCTGCAGCCCCCACCATGACCTCCCCCCGAGGTTCTGGGAGCTCCACATCCCTGAGCACAGTGGGCTCTGAGGGGGATCCAGCCCCGGGACCCACTCCAGCCTGCTCAGTCTCCAGGCCAGAGCCCCTTCCAGGGCCCCCCATCCGCCTCCATCTCTCTCCGGTGGGGATCCCAGGTTCAGCCAAACCCTCAAGGCTGGAGCGTGTGGCCCGGGAGATCGTGGAGACAGAGCGGGCCTATGTCAGAGACCTCCGCAGCATCGTGGAAGTAAGCCGGGCAGATACGCTAGGGCAGTGGGTACCCAGGCCAGCCCCTTGGCTCCCGTAATGCCAGTCATCCCCACAGGACTACCTGAGCCCTCTGCTGGACGGCGGGGTCCTAGGGCTGAGCGTGGAGCAGGTGGGCACGCTGTTTGCCAACATTGAGGACATCTACGAGTTCAGCAGGTCAGGGGCAGGGGGGACAGGCAGGGGGCATTGATTGGTTGGAGGGTCTATTTCCTAACCCAAACTTCGGAGCTTCGTAGTGTCCTGTCCAGGCTGGTATGTGGGGTTGTGACATTGGGCAAGGATCCGGGATCATGACTGGGAGTGAGGACCCAGAGTAAGGGAGGGGCATAGGGGATGGGAGTCAGAGGACCTGGATGAAGCCCAAATACCGGGACAGGGTCCCAGCATCAGGACGAGGCCTTGGGGCTGTGTCAGCTCTGGGCTCACAATGAATCCAAGAATCACGTGGGGCCTGAAGGCCGGGACAGCGTGAGCATGCGTGTGACCCCCTAAGCCTGATTTGCCTGGGACTTTTCCAGTTTTAGCACTGAAAGCCCTCATCCTAGGAAACTGCTCAGTCCCGGACAAACCAGGATGGTTGGTCGCTGTGGTAAGGAGGACGCTGGGGTCCAAGGATCGTGACACGGAAAAGTGCCTTGACGAGGTCTCCGAATTACAGCAGGATCTTAAGATCATCGTAGCTCTTTAGGTCATGACATGACACCCCTAGGCTCATGCCAACAGTGACACAAGTTCAAGCTGAGGAATGAGAAGCTGTCCAGGGACAAAGTCTAAGCAGGTTACCATGTCCCGTGTAGCCCTCAGAGGACCCTTCCTCCGGACGTGACATCCCCTTAGGAGATGCTGGCAGTCAGCAAGCCCCGAGCCCCAGCAGACCACTGGGGCCTCAGCCTCCTGGAGGCCTCCTATGGAGGGGTTCGTGGAGGCAGGCAGGTCCTCACCCTCCCCTCTCCCCCGTAGCGAGCTCCTGGAGGACTTGGAGAACAGCAGCAGCGCCGGGGGCATTGCCGAGTGCTTCGTGCAGAGGGTGAGTGGAGGGTTGGGGGGCTCTCGGTCCTAGATGGGGCCTTTGTAGAGGTGGGAGAGCAGGCTTGGGCTAGGATGGAAGGGGGGTCGTGGGAAGCCAGGACCTGGGGTCTCCCTGACTCCCATGTCACCCGCAGAGCGAGGATTTTGACATCTACACATTGTACTGCATGAACTACCCGAGGTGAGGGGCAGGAGCCCCTGCCGGGCCTCAGGCCGTGCCCACAAGCCGATGTGCCAGTCACCCTCCCTCTACCCCCGACCCATCCAGCACCGACCCCTGCCAGGCTGTGACAGTAACTGAACCTCTCCCTCACTGCCCCACCCCCTGTCAGACCCTGACCCTTCCCAAACCCTGGCCCCTCCCTAACCCCTCTTGTCCCCACCCACTGGAACTGACTATCCCCCACTGACCTGTGCTGTGCCCCCAGCTCCCTGGCCCTGCTCCGGGAGCTGTCGTTGTCTCCACCAGCAGCGCTGTGGCTGCAGGAGCGCCAGGCCCAGCTTCGCCACTCACTGCCCCTGCAGAGCTTCCTGCTGAAACCTGTCCAGCGCATCCTCAAGTACCATCTGCTGCTGCAGGTCAGCTAGGGCCCCTGGAGCCAGGCTGGGGAGGGCGAGGTCCTGTCCCTTGACCACTGTTGATGCATCTGGAGGGTGGACAACAGGCTGTGCCACCTGGGGAGGGATGCGGTCCCTAGAAACTGAGCCAGTGGGCCGGGTGCAGTGGCTCACACCTATAATCCCAGCATTTTGGGAGGCCGAGGTGAGAAGATCACTTGAGCCCAGAATTTCAAGACCAGGCTGGGCAACACAGCAAAACCTCACCTCTATAAAAATTTTTTTAAAATTAGCCGGGCACAGTGGCTTACAACTGCAATCCCAGCTACTTGGAGGCTGAGGTGGGAGGATTATTTGAGCCCGGGAGTTCGAGGCTGTGGTGAGATGTGACTGTGCCACTGCACTCCAGCCTGGGTGATGGAGCAAGACCCTGTCTCAAAAAAGAGAAGAAAGAAAGAAACTGGGCCAGCATTTGGTGTAGGGTCTTGCTGGCACTGACGCCTGGCACCAGCTCATTCCACTTCCTGTCTCTGCCTGTTTGTCTTCCTCCATCTCTGCCCCTACCTTTTTTTTTTTTTTGAGACGGAGTTTCGCTCTTGTTGCCCAGGCTGGAGTGCAATGGCGCGACTGCAACCTCTGCCTCCTGGGTTCAAGCGATTCTCCTGCCTCAGCCTCACGAGTAACTGGGATTGCAGGCATGTGCCATCATGCCTGACTAATTTTATTTTCTTTTTTTTTTTTTTGTATTTTTAGTAGAGACAGGGTTTCACTACGTTGGCCAGGCTGGTCTCGAACTCCTAACCTCAGATGATCCACCTGCCTCGGCCTCCCAAAGGGCTGGGATTACAGGCGTGAGCCACAGCGCCCAGTCCTACCTTTTTTTTCCCTTTGAGATAGAGTTTCGCTCTTGTCGACCAGGCTGGAGTGCAGTGGTGCGTTCTTGGCTCACTGCAACCTCCATCTCCTGGGTTCAAGTGATTCTCCTGGCTCAGCCTCCTGAGTAGCTAGGATTACAGGCGCACACCACCATGCTCGGCTAATTTTTGTATTTTTAATAGGGACGGGGTTTCACTATGTTGGCCAGGTTAGTCTTGAACTCCTGGCCTCAGGTGATTTGCCCACCTCAGCCTCCCAAAATGCTGGGATTACAGATGTGAGTCACTGCGCCTGGCCTCTGCCCCATCTTTATATTTCTCCATCTCCTGTTGTTCTCATTCTCTTTCGCCTTCTCTGTTTTTCTCCCCATCCCTGTGTGCCTGGTGGCTGCCTGACAGGAACTAGGGAAGCACTGGGCGGAGGGCCCAGGCGCTGGGGGCCGCGAGATGGTGGAGGAAGCTATTGTGTCCATGACAGCGGTTGCCTGGTACATCAACGACATGAAGCGCAAGCAGGAGCATGCGGCGCGCCTCCAGGTGGCCCCAGGGTGGGCTGGGGCTTGCTGGATGAGGGAGTGAGCGAGGGGGCTTTGGGGGCGGGTGGGGGCATATCAGTGCCTCAGAGGTTGCCTTGGAGGGTTTGCTGGGACAGCACGGCCCTGTTGCTAACCCCCCTGTTTTGGTGTGTATGTGTGTGCTACCTACCTCTGCTTGTCTCTGTGCCCGGCGCACCTGGCGGTGTCCCAGCAGGAAGTGCAGCGGCGGCTGGGTGGCTGGACTGGCCCGGAACTCAGTGCTTTTGGGGAGCTGGTGCTGGAGGGCGCGTTCCGAGGAGGTGGAGGGGGCGGCCCCCGGTTACGAGGGGGTGAGCGGCTGCTCTTCCTGTTCTCTCGGATGCTCCTGGTGGCCAAGCGCAGGGGGCTGGAGTACACCTACAAAGGCCACATATTCGTGAGTTTGGGATGGGGTGGGGCTAGAATACTACCTACAAAGTATACCCCAAATACTTGTATCTGTGTGCCCAACAGTGTGGGCCAGGGGACCCTGCCACATTTTCTTGAGTTAGAGAATGGAGGTCAAGGGAAGGTTTCTTTCTAGTGTATAGAATAAGAGCTGCCCCAATTAAGAGAAAAAGGAAGAAGGCTGGGTGTGGTGGCTCATTCCTGTAATCCCAGCACTTTGGGAGGTCGAGACCTGCAGATCACTTGAAGTCAGGAGTTCGAGGCCAGCCTAGCTAACAGGGTGAAACCCCGTCTCTACTAAAAATACAAAAATTAGCTGGGTATGGTGGCGAGTGCCTGTAATCCCAGCTACTGGGGAGGCTGAGGCAGGAGAATTACTTGAACCCAGGAGGCGGAGGTTGCAAGGAACCAGGATTGCGCCACTGCACTCCAGCCTGGGTGACAGAGCGAGACTCCGCCTCAAAAAAAAAAAAAAAGGGAGAGGAAACCATACAGCCTTATGGGGTACATCTTCCTAGGGAGTAGGACCCGGATACACCTCCAAGGGTGTCTCCGTACAAGGGGCATCACGGAGTCCAAGGACTCTGAGCTTGCTGCCCCTCTCTTTCCTTCCAGTGCTGCAACCTGAGCGTGAGCGAGAGTCCCCGAGACCCTCTAGGGTTCAAGGTGTCTGATCTGACCATTCCCAAGCACAGACACCTGCTCCAGGTGAGCATGTAGTGGGGTCAGACTGGCAGGGATCCCCCAACCTCGAGACCTCACACCTGGCCCCCTGACTCTACTGCAACCCACTCCCAGGCCAAGAACCAAGAAGAGAAGAGGCTGTGGATTCACTGTCTCCAGCGCCTCTTCTTTGAGAACCACCCCGCCTCCATCCCTGCCAAGGTACAGCTCCCGCCACAGCCAGGGGCCCTCTGAGTGCTGGAGACACCGTCCCTCAATAGTACCTCACCGTACTAGGAGACGCCCCTGCCCGATGCCGGAGCAGTCTCTTACAATGTGGTTGCTAAAAGTGCAGAATTCCGCTACTGGGGTTTGAATCTTAGCTCTACCATGTCCCTGCTTTGTGATCTCGGGCAAGTAACTTAACCTCTCTGAGTCTTAACTTCCTCACCTAGAGGAATGATAGCACCTTCATCCTAGGGTTGTGGTGACGATTAATGGTCACCAGCCATGTCGTCATGGGCTTGACCAATAGAAGCACCCATCAGCTGGTTGTGGCAGCTCATGCCTTATAATCCCAGCACTTCAAGGGGGTGATGTGGGAGGATGACCTGAGCCCAGGAGCTCGATACCAGCTTGGGCAACATAGTGAGACCCTGTCTCTAAAAAACATTTTTTAATTAGCTGGGGCTGGCCGGGCACGGTGGCTCACGCCTGTAATCTCAGCATTTTGGGAGGCCAAGGCAGGCGGATCACCTGAGGTCGGGAGTTCGAGACCAGCCTTACCAACATGGAGAAACCCCGTCTCTACTAAAAAAAATACAAAATGGGGCCAGGCACGGTGGCTCACACCTGTAATCCCAGCACTTTGGGAGGCCGAGGCGGGTGTATCACGAGGTCAGGAGATTGAGACCATCCTGCCTAACACGGTAAAACCCCATCTCTACCAAAAATACAAAAAATTAGCCAGGCGTGGTGCTGGGCGCCTATAGTCCCAGCTACTTGGGAGGCAGGAGAATGGTGTGAACCCAGGAGGCGGAGGTTGCAGTGAGCCGAGATCGCGCCACTGCACTCCAGACTGGGCGACAGAGTGAGACTCCGTCTCAAAAGAAAAAAATACAAAATCAGCCAGGCATGGTGGTGCATGCCTGTAATCCCAGCTACTTGGGAGGCTAAGGCAGGAGAATCGCTTGAACCCGGGAGGCAGAAGTTGCGGTGAGCCGAGATCACACCATTGCACTCCAGCCTGGGCAATAAGAGCAAAACTCCGTCTCAAAAAAAAAAAATTAAAATTAAAATTAAATAGCTGGGCTGGGCGTGGTGGCTCACGCCTGTAATCCTAGCACTTCGGGAGGCCAAGGCAGGTGGATCACCTGAGGTTAGGAGTTCGAAACCAACTTGGCCAACATGTTGAAACCCCGTCTCTACTAAAAACACAAAAATTACCGGGCGTGGTAGCGGGCACCTGTACTCCCAGCAACTCAAGAGGCTGAGGCAGGAGAATCGCTCAAATCGGGAGGCAGAGGTTGCAGTGAGCCGAGATCACACCTTTGCACTCCAACCTTAGCTGGCTGTGGTGCACATCTGAAATCCCAGCTACTCAAGAGGGTGAGGAGGGAAGATCACTTGATCCCAGGAAGTAGAGGCTGGAGTGAGCTATGATTGCACCACTGTACTCCAACCTGGTGGATAGAGCAAGATCATTAAAAACAAAAAAAAAGGCCGGGCGCGGTGGCTCAAGCCTGTAATCCCAGCACTTTGGGAGGCCGAGACAGGCGGATCACGAGGTCAGGAGATCGAGACTATCCTGGCTAACACGGTGAAACTCCATCTCTACTTAAAAATACAAAAAACTAGCCGGGCGAGGTGGCGGGCGCCTGTAGTCCCAGCTACTCGGGAGGCTGAGGCAGGAGAATGGCGTGAACCCGGGAGGCGGAGCTTGCAGTGAGCTGAGATCCAGCCACTGCACTCCAGCCTGGGCGACAGAGCCAGACTCCACCTCAAAAAAAAAAAAAAAAAAAAACAGCACCCGTTAATGGGCATGACTATGGTGCTTAAAGCATCCTCCCTGTGGTACTCCAAAATCGACCCACCTCAGCCCTTATCCTCCTGTCTTTCAGGCAAAGCAAGTTCTCCTTGAAAACAGCCTGCATTGTGAGTTGGGGCCTTGGGCTGGGAGGGTGTGGAAGTAGAGGAATTACTTCCAAGAAAAGTTGGCTCTTAGCCCCAAAACTCTCCCCACAGGTGCCCCCAAAAGTAAGCCTGTCCCAGAGCCCCTGACACCCCCACTTGGGTCTCCTCGACCTCGAGATGCTAGAAGTTTTACCCCTGGGCGAAGGAACACAGGTAAAGGCGGTGGATCCCTGAGTCCCGGCCCTCAGCCCTCACTTCCCTAGGACCCGGGAGCTGGGCTCACGCAGGGCTCTGGCCCTCCCTCCCACAGCTCCATCTCCTGGGCCCTCTGTGATTCGCCGAGGCCGCAGGCAGTCTGGTGAGCGCTCACCCCTAAGGGTGATCCAGGCATCGGGGTGGGAGCTGGGCTCCTGACATCACTGTGTCCTCCCCGCAGAGCCGGTGAAGGACCCTTATGTCATGTTCCCACAGAACGGTCAGTGACTGCCCTGGCTTAGCCTGGTCCATCCCTGTCTGTCTCCTGGCGGGATGTCTGTGGTGGGTTGGGGAGGGGTGGTCGCTTCAGCTCCTCAGTTATGGGGGATCACTCTTTTTCTCTTACATCTCACTAATGTTTTTCTCTCTCTCATCTCTCCATCCTCAGCTAAGCATGGATTCAAGGTAAGAGATATCTCGAGATAGGGTCTGGGCACCTTGACTTCTGGGTCTGATAGAGAAGGGAGCTTGAGTTCCAAAATCCTGGGTCTGAATGGGAAGGGGATTGGAGCCAGACAGAATAGCTCATGCCTGTAATCTCAGTACTTTGGGAGGTCAAGGCAGGAGGATTGCTTGAGCCCAGGAGTTTGAGACCAGCCTGGGCAACATGGCAAAACCCATCCCTACAAAAAGTACAAAAAAATTAGCCGGGCACAC